TGTCTTTTCGGTCAGTACCATAATGCTGCGTGTCATCATGTGTATTTCTGTGTAACGACGGAAGAAATACGGTGTTGTATGTCAGGGTTCAGGGTTTCGATGCTCAACAGATGTCATTAGATAACGTGCTTTCCCGTGCTTTCCACAGTACCTACAGATTTCTTTAATTATTCGCTATCTTGCCAATCAGAAGGTTAATGGCCAAAGTCATCGATTGCGTAATCAAAATATAACAAATCATTACGTAGCGAATTAATACTAAAGGAATATGACTGAGAAAAAGAAGTGATGAGTAGAACTAGAAAAACGTACTGAAGATGAACAATGAGAGCGGTGTTTTGCCTCGCCGCTTGAGGCTATTTTGATTTACTGTTGGATGAAGATCGCTTCAAGACCTTTGCTGTTGGTTCCTTTTTTATCCGGATGTTCATCCTGCCTTGAATCGACCGTTTCTTCTGGTCCAGCGATGGTCGGTTTTTCTTGTAACGTGTTCAGTCAAGTTAATCAAGCAGTGCTTACAGACCAACTGAAAACTTTGAAGTAGTGCGACTTTTCGCAAGAGAACATAATTATTTAGCCTTTATGAAGGAAATCTTTACTTTCACGATTGCTGCCAGCCCCGATGTTCGTCCTGTCATCGATCTGAACAGAAAAAGTGCTTTTAGTTTTAATCACGTTCAGAATTCAATAGAAAAGTGCATCAGAATTCAGCGACGGTAAAAAAAGCGCGATTTGTCATCGTTATTTGGCCCGTTTCTGAGTTGATCGACAGCCAAAGACCGGCAGTCATGAATAGCCACTTAATGCCCCCGGGCTGCGAACTTTTTGAATATGATGACTAAGGATTACATAGGTGAGAAGTGTCCAACCACCATCACATATGGCGCACGGATTGTCAGGATAAAGCAGGTCAAATTGCCAACTAGTCGCACTTTCCTCACCGCTCCCTATGCAAGGCTGGGAAATAGGTTCCAGAGCCTTTCTTATGACGTTTCGGTTCATAGCGTATGGCTAGCGGGGACGCTGCGCTGCGAACCCTGGAGATCCCCGGTTTTGATTCGGAGTGACTTCCTCTTAGGTGGGCCCTTAGTTACACCTCATGGTGTCCCAATGACACTGCGAGGTAGCGTCCTACCCGATACCCACTGCACGCCACCACCCATTTTACAGACAGTCAACAAATAACCAAACGAGGTCAAGTCATCAAATTCGATCTGTCAGTCCACAGCGGCTTTTCGAGATTTTTACATTCAGACAGTTTCAGATCGTCGGTAATTAGCGGCATTCGGGTTGTTTCGTTCCAAATTGCTTTGTCCGTCGCCTTGATATGCCGTAGTGATTAAACTACTGAATGACATAGCAGTAGTGGCTGATCAGACGTACTTAGTCATCGTGGTATGTTGATCGGTTATCGATCGAGGCAGCGCATGGCCAAGTCTGAAATACATGTGTATATCATTAGGCCTATCTGTCTAAAAGACTGATAAACTCAACGTCTGTACTCTAAATACAAGATGATATAGACTGAACTGGAATACACGTTGACGGGATAAGTAGAAGCGTTGAACAACCTTTAATAAAACCTCGTGAACATGGTGAATATTTTATGAATTGTAGCACTATCTTATGGCTTAAACTGGTTCGTATATTATCAGTTCGTGTGGTTATGGACGTGTTTTACCTCAATTTTTAGTACTTTATACGGAGGCAAATGGGTTATGCTGTATATCGTGAAATACCTACAAGGTCTTCTTTCTAACCTAATGTGACTACGTCGAAAACTTGGTATTATGAAGATAAGTTATGAATCATAATGGCTTCGTTCAGAGGTCACGTAGAAAACCGATTTATAATCGCGTTTAATTAACTTTCATTAAGCTGGCATCATGTTTTTATTATTAAATACTATGAATCTGTTATGCATCTTCGATTTTTAAAGCATAAGTCGTTAAGTACAGAGCCATCAGTGAGAGTTCATCGGGAATGCAAGTTTTCCCTTGTAAATGGCCAAACGTCTGAAACAAGCTATGCGCTAGGTTTAGTTGTGCCTGTATATATTTTTCATTGATCCGTCTTCGTAGTAAACCGGGACGACTGCCGGCTGATTTCGGTGATCACTTCGGTTGCCTCTTTCGTGCGAATCGTTTCCACAGATTTCATATCTCTTATTTTTAGCCCATTATCCCGTATGAGTCGAGGCATTGTGATTGGATGCTTACAGTGCCTTAGCTATATAAGATTCGTAGGAAAATTTCAAGGGTGGTCAGTAGACCTGCGAAGATACGATTTAGAAATAAAATTAATTTTATTCGTTGATACAAATCCGCTGATACACGTGTTTTCGATAACCCTGGTTTTTTCTTTTTCGGTTCGCCATCATGTTGAATTGGTTTTTATGATCGAATTCAAGATCATTTAGATTTTAAATCTCTAGTTCATTAAACTTGAAGGTAGTCAGATGTCGAAAAATTTCAAATTTGAACAATTTATAAATCCAGTTTGTTCGCTCAGCTGCTACTTCTGTCGAATTTCTTGTTTAAATGATTTATCACAACTTTCATTAATTAGCTTATACATTATGACTGTTTTTGGTAGGATAAAAAATTGTGCAGATTACGGAGAAAGAAATGCGATCGATAACATGTGTAGAAATGCACTGATATATTAAGGCAGAAATTTCAGAAATGAAATAAAATTCACATGTTGCACAAGCACACCATTGTCAATTATTGCATACATATATTACACGCAGGTTATGCATTTGCATTGAACGTAATAATATCTAACGAAAAGCCGTGACCACTGAAATCAGTCATAAGATGGTTTCGAGTTGTAGCTGAAACGAATGCTCCGCAGCGATCAATCGATTACATTATTGTGTTTATTATAAACAGTGATCGGATGAGAGCGTTTTAATTGATAACGAAGTAGCGGATTTTCTGCCATTTTAATTTCGCTAGAGAAGGCATTAATTTGTGCATTTTTATTGATCGAATAGCATGTTCATTTTACTACTATGTAGTCTAAAATTTTTTGCTCTTAAAGCCATCGCCAGATCTCACCATATCGTATTTATGACTTCGACTG